TATATTGTGGACAATGGTTGAGATCTGGTCACATTGGACGAGAGTCGGCGTACAACCCGGAGAGAGCAGAACAAATTCAGTTTATACAAACTCTTTAGGTTTCATTGATGTGTCACACACCACTTAATCTGCTTTCTGTTGTCTTTTTCATGTTGTTGAGTTCAGTCAAACTAGGAATTTGCTTCTTTTCATTGAACTGACAATGTTGGAATCTAGGCGCACAAGAAACGGCCAGAGCAAAATTACTCCCGGCACCCGAGATGCCACCTGTGATTAGGTTATCATAGCCAAACCGAAACAGCCCCAGAAAATGACCTGTCAAGCATTTACGTCTACAAGGATCCCAGCTTTCCTCCTCTCTTAATTTCAAAGGATCCTCATTTCACTTCCACAGAGAAGTAAACACTTGTTTTCATGCGGCGCGTTTGCTGCGGTTCATTGAGAACACACACCCACACACTCAGAGGAGATGTGAGGCACTTCTCCCCTCATCTGCACTCACCCGCGGCAGCACAGCGGAGCGATGCGAGTGTGAGGGAGGCCAGATGAGTGTGGAAAGGCAGAGATGGCTTCAGCGAAAAACGGGTGAAGGCTAATTAATCTGAGGCATACACAGAGTTCCTTCCAGCGCAACAAACAGCTAATTCGGTATTCTGTGCGCCTCCCTTCAGTCTGGGACACAACTCAGGAGGAAGAAAAGACAAAAAAAAAAAAAAAAGAACAATGTTTAACAGGAGTTTATTTTCCTGCAAAGAAAGGAGTTGAGGTCTCCGTGCCAGGCGAGTTTCCACACGTGAAACCTTCGCCTTTCTTTTTCCTTACTCCACTCGTCTCACTGATTTTTTTTATTTTTTTATCTGAAAGTTAAATTATGTGGTTTTGATGAAGTGATGAGAAAGTATTTTATAATTTCAGTCCCTGCCACACAACCAGCTCTTTTTAACAGCTAATTACTTCGGTTACGCTGTTATTTTCAGCTCCTCAGGATCTGCGCCAGCATGGGAAAAAAAATAAAATAAAAAATCCATCCAATCTTCCCTGGTCTCTCTGATTCTGCACTTTAGCCACCTGCAATCTGCCTCTGTTGCTCTGAAAGCAAATTCAATTCAGTTCAAAAATACTGATTGATCCCAAAGGGAAGCTGAATAATTAAACAATAATAATAATTGAGGAATGGTGAAACCAACACAGGCAATGGGATAAGGTAAGACCAAAATATATATTATGTATATTTGCAAATAAAATATAAAACAATTTAAAATATGTTTTGATTATTTTCATGGTGAAAAGCAAACAATACTCAATATTTGCCTTGAATAATTATATTATTAACTATCATCTTTTTGTTTTGTTTTGTTTGTGGAAACCTAAAAACGAAATGTTTTCAGGTTGTAATGCATCTGCATATATTTCAGTGGACATTTTGTCCCAAACGGAAATCATCCTGAAGGAATTACTGATCGTTACGGATAACTTTTCTCATATTCCTCTGAATTGACTTGTCTCCACTATAGAATTTCTACATGTTTTGCTGCAAATAATTCAAATTCAAATAAAAAATACATAATTTATCCCCAAATGGAAATTAAGTGATGTAATTTATATCATCCAAGTATCTTCAGAGTGTTATTGTGGATGGTGATGCTGGTAGCAGTCAGTCTCACAACGAATCTGAAGAGGTTTCTGACTGAATGAAATGCTAATTGCTCAATATCCAGGCAGTAAAGACTATGTTTCATAGCAACGTGTTCTGGATGACACCACCAGCTCTGCTAATCCGCCTCATTTGCTTTTGCCGCTCCTCTTTAAGTCACTGCATGGCCGTACGGTTAGAAACCTGGGAAAAGAGAGACGTTGGAGTCAGCGATATAATCCTTACCCCCATTGAGATGGATGGAAAAGATGATTTGAACTTCCTCCTCCTGCATCCATGGAGCCTCCTTTATAACTCCACTGGGGTTTGGGGTTTGCATTTGAGCTTCTAAGATGCTAATCAGCCCAGTTGTAAAAACGGCACCTTGCTTCCATGGTAACGAAGGGACAAATTAAATACAAACTTTTTTCTATGCTGATAGCAAGATGATTAAAAAAATCTGCTGATGATGCTGGGTAAAAAAATAAAAAATAAAAAATTGTAAAAAGAAAAAAAGAAAAGAGACGATGTGAAGAATACTAATTTTAGTGTCCATATTTTGTGCTCCTTCCTTCTCCAACACACACACACGCACACATGCACACACACACACACCAAGATTAATCACTGGCCACTGCCACATCCAGTCTGCTCCAGGAACTGACCTCCCTCTATCTAGCAACACATCAGGACTGGGATACACATGTAATCTCCCATATCTCCTTTAGCCATCGCCACAAAATGAGAGCTGCTGCCCCTGCAAAATCCCCACAGCTGACCGGTGGAAGCGGTGAGGAACGTAGGAGTCTGACCCACACACAGAGAGGTAAAAAAAATAAATAAAACAAAAACAAGCAAGGTTCCCTGAAGGCTTCTGCAATCTTGCAGCGCTGAGCACCTTTGAATCAGCAGCAGAGAGGAGAAAGTGGAAGAAAAAAAAAAAAAAGTGTTCTAAAGGTTAATGTGGATTCGGCTCTGGTCATTAAGCTTATGTACCTAGTTGCTGCTATGCATGTCAAGCTAATAAACATCAAATTGAACCGATTTTTCTGTCTGCAGGCGAGGAAATATATGGCTTGCTGTTTACAAATAAAAAGCTGCAGCTGACATTTAGACCTGCCTGTAAAGGTAACTGCCATCCAAACTCAGAGGGGGTGTCATTTCCACGCCGTCGAAGATAAATGCAACCCATGCCTCAACTACGGCGTCTCGGCTTGGCTTTTGTCCATAAACCCCAGCAAGCAGACAAAGTATTAATTATCATCCTTGGAGCTCATCTGCTATCCCTTATTTAAGAAGTGATAAAAAAAAAGGGGGGGCAAAATGGCCTCAACTTTTAAAAGCACGGCAATTAGCAGTGATCTAGTTAGAGAGAGCCCTCTTTGCTGTGTTAATATAGGTGATTATGGCTCCAAGCGGAAGTGATATAGACTTCGCCGAAGTGTTTGAGGAGAGCAGGCGAATTCCACAGTCGGGAGAAGACGGATGGGTGGCCTCTCTCACACACACACACCTTCACACCAGGTAAGGTGACATCCTTCACACACACAGTCAGCTAACACACTGGAAGTCTACTTGATGTCTCTTTGTGTCTAGAGCTGTTAATACTAAGAAAATATGGACAAAACTCATTGTTACTATTATGCTTTTTATACCCAGAATTATCCATACAATCGGTAAATGTAGGTTTCAAGTCCTTTTAAATTGAGCTTCTTCTGACTTGAAGTGACATTGAAATTTTCAAGTGTCCCAGTTAAAGTCCTGACCTTAATCTGATTGTTTTTGGAGCGAGATGGAAAGGAGGCGTTCCAAAGTCAAAGAAAATACATTGTCAAAAATATTCTATTCAATTCAAAAGATCTCCTGTAGCAGTCTGTATTACAACAAGTTTGGAGGAGCTTCTGACTGAAGACCCTCTGTTCTATGAAGTCATGAAATGGACAGTCAGGGTTGTTTACATTTTTATGATTTTATGTAAAAAATAATGTAAAAATATCAGTGGAAGCATAAAGAAAGCTGGTCAGCAGTTTTCATAGGAGGTTGATTGATGTAATGCCAACAAAGGTTTTTCTACTGGTTATTGACAAGATACATTTTCACAACATTTTTTTAAATACAATGTAAATAAAAATACATTCATTTATTTATAAGTGTTACTTGTAAATATCACTTTGTTATTGATATCGTTTTATCAAGGGCCATTAATACTAAGTATTGGTATCAAAAGTAAATGTCCTGGTTGATTGAAAATACTCTCAAATCATAATGGAAACGATGCACAGCTGAAACTATATGTTCACATACCCCTAAAAAAAGACATGAATCTTTTTATTGTTGTTAAATCAAAGCCAACTTCTCTTGTGTTTAGAATTACCAAATTTATTTCTATTTGCTAAACGCCATCATTTAAGAGAAATCTCGCAGATTCATTTGCTCCTATCTCAGAAATGAAAAGTTTACAAACCTTTTCAGATCACTGGAGTTTTATGATAACCACAGCAAAAATCAAAGTCTTTCAGCCACTTTGACTGTAAGCTTGCTGTCATTGTCCATTAGATGTTGCTTCAATATTTCCACATCATTTTATTTCCTCATCATGGCATCCATGTCATGAAGTGCACCAGTTCCTCCTGCTGCAAAACAGCCCCGCAACATGATGCTGCCACTACCATACTCCACAGTTCAGGCGGTGTTCCCACTCTGTCCTTAGAATGTAACGATGGTCACTAAGAGTACTTAAAAAGTACTAGTATAGTATTTCTATATTACTGGAGTCAAACAGTGAAGACTCCGGAAAACTCTGGCTGTGGCCAAGAAGCGGCTTGGCTCCAACTCAGCAGGAAATGCTGAACATGTCTGTAAATAGGGGAAGGGCAGAGAATCAGATGTACTTATACTGATAAAGTAGGCCAGAGGCTTTTATCATCTGGGAGGAATGAGGAGAGAAGAAGTTTGTTTGTTTGTTTGCTTGTAAAGCTTTCAGCCAAGATGAGAAAATCTGTAGCTTGTGTTCATAATCAGATTTAATATGTCTATTTTTTTTTCCTTAACAACAATTAAATCACTGATTAGCATGTTAATAGGAGGCTAATTGTCAACTTCAGTCCTAATTATCAATACACATTACAGTTTGAAAAGATTAAATCAAGCAGGAGTTCTTCAAACGCAGACTTCTAGAGCTCACTCTGAAATAAAGATCCTCTTCTTCTGCTGCAGCCAAGAAATACAAGTTAGCTAATAATCAGCACTGGTGACACAAAAATAAAACTACTTTTTTTCTATCAAGAGCTTCCTACACTATTAATGACCTCCTAACCATTTATCTGCTCTTTTTCCAGAGCCTCCGTTAACAGAGGGAAGGACGTACCTTTGGAAGGCTCTGTACGTTTAGGTAGATCCAAAGTGTCGTAGTTTTTGTCATTTTCACCATTCTTTCTGCCTGCGTGGGAGGAATAAGGAGAGAAGAAGATGTTACCAGCAGAAACGTAAATTTCTAAGGATGATGTAACAGACAAGAGGCAAACACTGGTTTGGAGGGTTGATATCAGTGTTAATGGACCAGTTGGACCCAAAATGGATTTTTCTATGACGGACAGATTTCTGAAAGACATAACAATATGGGGATGGGTTATAAGTTGGAAAAAGTCCAAATTAAACTAAACATAAATGAAGCCTGGGCTGGGAACACATTCACCTACGTAGAAACAAGAGAGTGTGCATTTACACAAGAAGCAGATAGATGGGAACGAACAGCGTTCATGACCATGAACCAAAAAAAAACCTAAAGAAACAAGAGAACCACTTAAAAAGACAGTTATAAATCTGACGTACAAGCAACATCTGCAAACAAATACAATTAAAAACAGCAAATCTTTGTTGTTGATCTAATCTGTCTATTTATCCAAGAATTTAGCACCAAATTTCAGATGCTGAAATTAACTTTGTCAGACATTTTATTTGAGTCTGAACCGTGGTTTACATATAAATTTTTATGGGATTTTTTATTTATTTATTTTTTTACCAACATGATGTAGTGCATATTTGTAAACTGGAATGAAATTCATGGGTTTTGAAATATTTCTACATATAATTTCTTATGTACAATTACATAAAAATAGATTTTGCTGTAAAGCAGATTCTAAATTAAGTAGAATTCATAAGCACAAACCAAACCTGCACATCCAGCAAATAAGCTAAGTATATTTAAATATGGGCATAATTCCAACCACGAGATGGCGACAAAGCGGTTCTGGTCCATTCTAGCTCTGGTTGTACTGTAAGGGTCGTCTCGCTGAGGGAAGCTGAACATCCACCCAGACTGAAGTCGTTCAAAGCCACCAACAAATCTCTAACTTCTCTAGTTCATCTCCAGAGCATAATGCTGCCAACACCATGCTACACAGCAGGAATGGATGGATACAGGAAAGTTTGTCGTCAACAAAATGCAGGGAAGTTAAATTGGGAATGACTATTTTCTCAAAGCTGTGTAGTTTCACTTTAAACTTTTAGGACTCATGTATCTTGTGGGTGACGTTGCTCACAAAACCCCGTATATCACATCAAATCAGACGGCAACAGCAGCACAGAGAAAGCCACGATCAACGTTAGCGATAAAACGAAAGATAAATCTCAAAGTAATTTGTCCTCAATACACATATAGGAAAGATGAACAGCCGATGATGAGAAGAGTTGCTTCGAGCCAGACTGGTCATGCAGCTGAAATAGAGCGATGCAAAGTCAGACTGACGCAGAAGGAACAGCAGCTGCCAGACGCGCTAACGGCTAACGTTTGAGCATGACTTAAGATAACAGGTAGGACATGACTGAAGAAGAGAAGAAGACGACGCAGCGAATGACATCGTTGACAAGAACGGTCTGAACAGTTCAGTTGTGTGGAGATATGAAGTTCAACAAGAAAAAAAGAAAAAAAAATTAAAAAAGTAGTGCAGACATTATGTCAAACACATGCTTATTTCTGTTTCATAGCTTTGTCTTAGAAAAGCATTATTTAAAGTGAGCTGCTATACAAAGGAAGTATTTTGGGAATTTATATTCCAGTGTCGATTTTATTTATTTGACAACAAAAGTATACCTCCATTTTTGTTCTGTTCTCCTGTAATGCCTGAAGATTTTAGTTAAATGAATCCTCTGTTGATCTGGCAGAGGCTGCAGAGAGCATAATGTTCAACCGTCACGCTTTGAAATCTATTCATCTTTAATACAGACTCTAAAAAAGGCCATTTGCTGAAATAACAAAACAGCAGCAGTTATGCAAAAAACTGTTCAAAAATATAAGCATTTTGCATTTAACAAAAACCTTCCTTGTCTGTAAAGATGTTCTACCCACAACTCCTCAAGGGACAGTTTTAGCTTCATCTGGTTCAAATTCTGTATAAAAAAAAAAAAAACATAATAATAATAATAATAATAACCAGCAGGTCAGCCCTGCACTGTATGGATGTTACGTCCAGCAGAAAGAGCTGAACTTTTCACATACCGATGTTAGAAGTTTTTTTTTAAATTATTATTTCAAATGCATCCATTGCTACAAATTATTAAGTGTATGCTAATGGAATGCTGTCATTGCATCTTAGACAAAAAACTTTTTTTATTGAATTTGCTTTTTGCATCTTTTTATGCATTTCTAATACTGTATAAAAAAGTGGTTAAATGAGAAATCTGCAGAATTTGCATCTAGTTAATTGATTAATCATCAGAATAATCAAAAGAATACTTGATGACAAAAAAAAAAGTTAGTTGCAGTCCTTATCGCTACAGGATATTGTTCCACATCAAGTGAAGCTTCAACGCTCACAACTACACAAATACAAACCAGTGACAATAAAGTTCATAACCATGTTTATATGAAGCCCAATTTAACAGCTAAACTAAAGGAGAAACACTTTGGAGAGCATTTCCTAAACCTTTTTTAATAGATACAAATCAGATACTTCAGCTACGAAGTTTAAATCATCACAAAAAAAAAAAAAAAAAAAAAAAAAAAAAAAAAAAAAAAAAAAAAGCCCGTTTGACTCTGAGCTGGGGTTGTTCGCTATGGCAAGGAAATACACATGGAATGAATACTACAATTTTCTGAAATCCTTGGAAGTTTCTCAGGGTCTTCTGGAGGACAACCAAAACTATTCTAACTGCACTCTACAGCCAGGGGGGGAGGGAGGAGGAGAGGAGGAGGGATGAAGATGAGGAGGAGGAAGAGGAGAGCTGAGAGGGAGGAGAGAATGGGAGGGGAGGGCACTCACCTTGATTAAACCATTCCTCTATAGTTATCCAAGGAAGCAGCAGCAATGCCAAAAAACACAAAGCAGGGAGAAGAGAGAATAGGCATGGTGAAAAAAAAGACGTGCGTGTTTGCGTGTGTGTGTGTGTGTGTGTGTGTGAAGGAGGTGCAGTGTTACACACGTCAACACAAAAATAAGTAATTATTTCCTGAAGGTGAATCAGTGACGGCCGTAACAGACGGTTAAGAAAGGGTGTGTTTCTGTGTGTGCAGGGGGAATGCAACGAGAGCGGTGTAACACGGAGGATTTGGTGACGATACACTCATAGGCAAAAAAAACAGATTCAACTATGAGGCTGTGAGGGAAGGTAGACAGTCAAAAAGGGAATATGTTTAAAAATGGCATCGGATGTCAGAGTGTGAATAAGTGTTTTATCAGAACGGCTGAGTGAGAAGAGCAGGAGTAAGAGCCTGGAAACGTCAACGACTGGGTTTGAGCTGATTACACATCTGGATTTCAATCTCTATGTGACACTGCGGTTAGATCTAGTCTATGTTCATTTCAGCTCTACAGAAACTACTGTGTGTTAGCGCTGTTCTCAGAGAACATGCCAACAATTATTTCTCCCTAAGAACTGTGTTCAAGGCCAGATATTCTTTTTTCAATTATATTCCTGATGATATAATTTTTTATCTTCTTCTGACAACTGAAAATAAAATGTGACCCAGCAAACTGACAGCCGGACTTTATATTTACTGAACATAATCTGACAAAAACAATTGTCATCAACTGGTTAATTTCAGATATTGTTGGACAGGAGGAGGATAACAGTTTAATTTTCCAGGCAGATTTATGATTCCTCTCTTTCCCTTCCCGTCTTCTCACCTTTGGCCTTCTTTCCCCCGAAGCAGCCAGCATCATCCTTCTTTTTCCTCTGTGGCCCTGCGGATCCGGGGGCTTGCAGGGCCGACGGGTCCTGGAATCTCTCGGCACCAGGCACCTCTTTGTGCACGTGATAGGAGAGGTTCCTCATGATGCAAACGCAGTTTTCCACGGACTGTGGAGAGAGGAGAGACAGCCATAGCATCAGCTGCACCTGCTGCGGAGCGCGCGGTGGAAGCCGGGTCGTTTCCTCACTTTGTTATCCATGTCTTTCTTCCCCACAGCGGACTGCAGCGCGTGCAGCAGAGCGTCCACCAGGCCTTCGCATTCCCTCAGTCTGCGCCGAGCCTCTGCCCCGTCTGAGCTCACGTTTCTGCAGGACGAAGAAAGCATGAGGAGTTAGCGTTGGCGCGCGTAGGAGAGGGAAGTCCTAGCATCTTAAATATACACATGCCGGAAATGTAGAAGGTTTAAAGTAGAATTCATTCTACAACTGATTGTAGCTGGTTAGATGAGACCAACATGGAACTTTTTAAACTAATCACCCTGAACACACAATGACACAAACACGGTGGTGGCAGCATCAAGCTGTGGGGAAGCTTTGTTTCAATAGAGACTGGACAGCTGCTCAAGCTGACTGGTTTGGAGCTGAATGCAGGGAACTCCTGAAAGAAAACTATTTAGAAAAACAAATAGTTGGTTTGGAAAACCATATTTTCTGTATGACTGGATTCCTGAATTTATGATTAATTGATTGTAAGTTTATGGTGAAGAAGATGGAAGAAATTGACAATAATCTTAAACACCCCTGATTTAGAGGTTGAAAAATAAGTCAGATCAGAGCAGAGACTTACACAACGAATAAACACAGAGGAAGAGTTACAGTGGAGCAGGTCAGGTAAAAAGCATGTGCATGTGTAAGAATGACCCAGTCAAAGTTCAGCCTTAAATTCAGTTAGGAATCTGAGGTAAGTGTTAGGAATGAATGTTTACAAATCTCACTAAGCTAAAGCTGTTTAGTGAGCAACAGAGAAGATTCAAAGGCATAAATTTTGATTAAATTAGTTGTATGGATGTTAAAATGTTTAACATCAACTCTTTTTAACATGCAAAGGTTGCAGCTGGAACATTTGTTCCTGAACGTTTCTGGTACGTCTATAAATCTGGCGCACAAGCAGCATCCACAAACAACAACTTGCTTCTTCTGACCAATTTGTGGTTAATTTTTGCTTAAAGAAACATATAATCTGAGGCTGTAAAAGACTATTGTGTTCAAGTTGTGCTAGAAGGAGTTAGCCTATCAGAGTAAGTTATTCAAGTCTAAAATAGCATCTCAATGCTAAACTGGCTGCGTCAAGTAAAGACATCCCCAAAGCTAATGTTAGCATTCACAGTCCACATTCGTAAAGTAGAATTTTTCAAAGAAGTTTCAGGGGTTTCTGAAACTCTTCAAAGCTGCATAGCACTTCGCACCAATTCGACGGTTGAATAATCTAAATGACAGTTTAAAAAACAATAAATATCTTTGTTGAGTTTATGCGTCAATTCGATAATTTGGCAACAAAAAATGTTTAAGCTTAAAATGCTTACTTTGTCGATGTGTGACTTTCGATTAAAATGTGATTACTTGCGAAAATTAATTGCAAATACTGCAATTAACTCAATTAAAAATTGTAATCAAGTAAGAACATTATAAAGAAAAAGAGTTAAATTATTAATATAATTTAACTTCTTGGCGTCTAGGGGGAGAAACGTGAAAAGCCATCCGTCTTACACAGTGAGCAGCCAGAGCACAGCTGGTTCAGCAGCAGCAGAGCTGGAGGAGTCTTAGTGCGGCTGTCTGACTGGCTGTGAAAGGCAAGGCTCTAAAGAGGGTTAAGGGATAGACGGGGCTCCCCGCTCCTCACCGGGGACTTCATTTATGATGGCTTCCAACCCACGTAATCCCATTAGCTGACCCTCAGTCACTTCTGTGGAGGCTGGCAGCCTTGCAGAGGTAAGCAGAACTTCTTTTTTTTTTTTCTTTCACGCTTTTATTGCTGCATCAACATTCAGCACAGCTGCAAATTAGGCTATTTACAGTAAATAACAGATTATTAGTTTTTACTTTATTTCCATTATTTTATTATTTTACGTTCAATGGGTATAGAGAATCATAAATATATGACAATGCATGCAGCTGTAGGAAACTTTATTACACCTAAACCCAGACCTAACACCAAACTGGCCCTTTTGTATAGAGGAATGAATAAGGATGCACCGATCCAAGTTTTTCACTTCTGATACCGATATCTGGGGTTTAGTATCGACCGATACCGATCCGATACAGACAAATTAAAGGTCTTAATTGAATGAAAACGTTCTTTCAAATGTTTGTTACATTCAAATGTTGGTTCAGAAAGTGCAATGAGGAACTCTAGATGTAATTTAAACATATCAAACTCAATTCACAAATATTAATAAAACATCCAAGTAGGAATTGTATGTACATATGTGTATGAGTATATAAGTATTTCTTGTTTTATCAGTAAATGTACAGGTTATTTTTTATTCTTATGTAAATATAAGGGGATTTTAATGAACAAACAAATATATCTGTTTATGTTCACCAATGAATTTACAAATGAGATGACGACCAATCAGCCATTTTTTAAACGTGTAATCTGCAAAGTAAAGCTGCTCTTCAGTAGAGACCTGGCCGCTGCTACGGTCATAGATCTAAATTCATCCCCCAAAAAAAAAAAAAAAAAAAAAAAGGCTAAGCACCAACTCTGTAAACACATCCAAAGCAACGTCTGCCTCTGATTTATTTGACAGGGGTGAGTTTGTGGGGATTGCTGGCACAAACGAGGATTTTATTGGCAGCTGTTTCATTTTCAGGAGGCTTTTGGGGGAGAGGGGCCAGACGTGGGAGGTGTGAGGACGTGCATCTGTTGGTGAAGACGGTCAGGGCGGTCAGGGAGGCGGTGGAGGAGGCTGCTGCTGTCTGCCGCTGAAATATTTAGTCCTTCAGATGGTTTATGACCTTTAAGTTTTGATGAGTATTGATCCGGAGCCGTCCTGGCATTTTACCATCTGTCAGAGTTTGCAACTTCATAAGAAGACTGGGAAAGCGATGAGGCCCAGTTCACTCTATTCAGAGTGACTCAGGACCGCTCCGCGAGAACTTTGCATCAACTGCTGCTGTGACATTCACTGGCTCGTTGCTGCGTAACTCCTGGAAGTAGTGTTCGGTTACTATGGCAACTGTAAGAGGAACATTCAAGTGGAGCTGTAGATTTTAAGTTTAGCTGACAGTTTGGAGGCTTGTAGGTGACATCGGTCTGATTTTGTTTTGTGCTACCAAAAATAATAACCAACAATTTTCTCTTCTTTTTTTTTGTCCCTCTAACATTTATTGTTAAAATGTATCCAAAGGTTGATTGGATGAAAGAACTCCAATATTAAGCCACTAGGTGTTTCTACAATGTCTTGGTTTAAGAGTTCGCACAGCTGTGAAATCGGGTCACTGCAATGTTTTTACTTTTTAAAGATTTAAAGGGTTTTATTCCCATCTAGGTCTTATTTGCACAGGATATCCATCACATTAAAGGTGGGGAAAAAGAAATATAGTGTGAATATTTTTAGGTGTTAAAAACCTGGAATTTTAACGAGGGTGTGTACAGGCGCCCNTAGGGGCATGGCTGAGTACTATGGATTAACAGGCTATAGAGTAAATATGTTTGTTTTGAGGGAAACACCTTTAATCTGTAACCACAGATCGTATCCTGGGACAAAGTTATAAAGTTTGGTTCATCTCCTCTTTGATTCCTGTTTTGGTTCCTGTCTTCTATCCTGCCTTTATCACTTCTCTATGCAAATCCATCTTACAAAATAGAAATTAACAAACATGACTGGTATATTGGGTTCTTGTTAATGGCAACCCTGTCAATAATGTCAAAATGTTTGGTTTGCTGAATAATGTATTAACTTTTGGATGCGTTATTTGGTAATCTATAATGTTAAGTGTCAATGAAATACATATGCATTATATTTTCACTCTGTCTAAAGCTCCTCACATTTTTGGGAGGATTGTATTAGGACTTTGATGCCATACACAATAATGTGTGGAGTGAATATAAGAGACTTTGTTCATTGAGAGCACAACAGCATTTATTTTTCATCTTTTGTTTGCCTCAACTCTCCTCTAAGGACCTCTCCCATTTCAGTGCAGGTAGCTGCTTCCTCCTGAAGGAGATCAGTTGTTGTTCTGATGGTTCTCCTCATTGTTTACCATCATGTCAGCCATGTTCCTCTTCTTCTGTTCCCTGGAAAAATGAATCAGATGTTATTGCTTATAGCACAAAAATGTTGATAAATAACACAGAGTTACTAATGTGGAGTTACATAGGAATGATTTAAAACAGATGTATTACTTTGTATGTATGCAAACACTTTTTTACCATTGAGATAAATAACTGGAAAGTCATAAATTAAAGTCAAAACGTAATTACCTATGACTGTATGCAGACAGAGTCATGGGTAAAATGCCATGACTGTATGTTATGTATATTTTCAGGTTTATTGTGTTTTTATGTCCTGTACAACAAATAGTTCATAACTGTTTAATTACACAGAACAGAACATATGTTTTATTATCTCACAATGGGGGAAACTCTAGTGCAACAGCAAAATGAGAAACAATTGAAGCACATAGATTCACGTAGACAAAACAAAATAAAAACAAATGAAGGGCAACATGGTGTACAATAGACAGTTATAAAGAGCGCACTCCGACCCCAAAGAATGTGCAACTGAGTATCTTCAGAAAATGCGCATTTTGTTTGAGCAATAAAAATACAGCATGTCCTTCATGACTGTATGTAGGCAATCATAAATATGTAGACAGATATAAAGTATCTGTCTACATATATCTAGACAGATATATGTACAAACTGCTCACCTGACTGGAGTGCAGCAGCCGCGTTAACATGCATCTGAGTCGGTGTGCACTGTGGGGCTGCGACGGGCTCCAAAGTGGCTAAGGAGGCTTTTCATTCTCTGTGCTATGTCGGCAAAAACGATTCATTCCTCACTGCTCCATCAAGTTGCCACTGAATGTTGAAATCCGATGCAAAGAAAAGCTGGCATCTTTGTTCACCGCTTGCTTGTAGCTTTCGTCACTTCTGTGTTGTGTTCTGTGTTTATTTTTCTTCTCTCTTTGCTGCTACGTCTGACCACGCCCACAGCCAATCAGTGAAAAGGAACAAACCTTGTGTCACCCACGAAAGTACCCACTAGGTGGCTGCATCACTCACTTGGGAGGCCTGTGTTCCACATGGTTTGTGTTTTTATGTTGTCAATATATGCAGAGTTCTTTGGACGGGCTGTGTTGCGTTTGTACAATGACAATAATGCTGATTCTGAATACCAAGACACTTGTTTTCATGACATTATTTGAGTGACTTTCCTTACAGTTATAGTCTTTATAGTCTTTCAATGTCCTTACAATGAATATGTCTGAAAATAAGGGATCATTTTTCTAATTCTCACCCTAAAAACATTTAGTAATTCCCTTTAACAAAATCACTGGGGATGGAAACAAAATTGATTTGTGATAAATATTAAAAAGTCCCATATCTTATTATAGTCACAAAAGGGGAATGTGGTGGAATTTTGTATTATACAGGTAATGTATTACTAATAATCTGATGGTCATATTATGTTATGTTCTTATTCATAGTGTTTATGAACCACCACCAAATGAATATTGCTAAACTAGAAACTCATGGTTAGATGTCTTCTGCAGCTCCTCAGGAGTCAGACTCTCTACTGTTTTGGATTTGTTATCCCCACCTTGGTATAAAACTGTTATTTTGTCTGCTGGTTGTCAGTGCCAACTTTGAGCCATCTCCGCGTACACACAGAACCCACTCTGAGACTTACTTGGAGCTGTAATCTGACCTGTTCATGAGTTTTTGAGCTTGTGGCTCTCATATCATGCTCATGGTATTAAATAAACTTGTCAGTGATTTTCACCTGTGCTTGGCAATTAATGTTTTTCCACAACACTGGAAAAATCTTAATCAATTAAAATTATTGATTGTTAAACACTAATACCAATGAAGTGTTGCTCCTACCTGGCATTGGAGAAGCATTAGAGAATGTAGGCATCAAGGGCGTCTGTGGTGTTCGTCCAGCATGACCCTGTGTGATGTCGTATCCAGCACTTGTAAAGAAGCCTGTCATGGGTGGGTGTACAGGAGGGGCAGCCATACCAGCTGCTGAGAGAGGACTAACAGAAGAAGGTAGAGGATGCAAATGGGGGGAATCCACAGGAGGGAAGGTAGAACTGGTAGGGAAAGGTAAGACAAGAGTTGATGAAGGGGGCAACTGGGAGAGAATGGAACATGGCGTGGTCAAAGAGCTACTGAAGTGAGGAAGAGAATCAATGGATGGAGGAGAGTTGGAGATGGAAGTTGAACAATTTGTGATAGAGTTGGCTCCAGAGAGAGAATGCTGACTTGAGAGACCTGAAACAAAAAGGACAAAAATCAGATCTCTTTTCCTATCTGCTTAATATATACAAAAGATTTTTTTGAGAGCCGGAGAAAGGCTGGCACAGTGCATGAAGGATTGAGAATTCTATAGATTATACATCATGAATCCGAAGGCGTCTTAGCATGTTAGTTATGTGTCATCCTTTGCACAATACATTTTAGCTGCAAATGATGCACTGAGATGACTCGACAGTTCTTTTATTAAAGGGAAGCTGCACTCGATGTGTGCTGAAAACCATCATGCTGCCAGGTCGACAGCGTGGCATGTGAAATTACTCCCAACTCGTGTGGCCAAGGCATCAGTGTGGAGCCTAAATCAAGTCTGCTGAAGAGCTTGGTATGCGTAAATATTTATTTTTACAGTAAAAGGCTGCTGATAACCAGTGGTGGGAAGTAACGAAGTAGAAGTACTTCGTTACTGTACTTAAGTACAATTTTCGTGTATCTGTACTTTACTTAAGTAGATTTAATAATGGATACTTTCTACTTTTACTCCACTACATTTTACAGTAAGTATCTGTACTTTCTACTTCACTACATTTCTACAAAACCACCGCGTTACTCGTTACATCCAAGTGGCGTTGCTCTTTTTGTCCGTTAAAATGTGAAGTTCAGGGTCTTCAGGTGGCGCCGTAAAATCCGAGCAATAACGTGACTTGGTGTCTGTTGTCACCCATCGCCTCCACCTTTACTCGCACGCGGAGCTCCAAGACATGCGCAGTGGTTTCCTCTGAGCGGGAGAAGTCTGTCTGATCGTCAGTAATATAATAGAGCTGCATAAATCATAAGATATGGCGACATGTAAAATAAGAAGCGCTTCGCTTTCACAGATGGTGGGGACTTTGTCCAACTTTTAGCGTCACTTGGAAGGAAAGCTTAAAGAAGGGTAAGATCTGTGGACGTGATGCTAGCAAAGCTAGCTGTACAGAGACATGTTGCATCTGCGATGAAAAAAAGTTGTCACTCATGCGCTGAATTATTGTGTGGAGGTGTTGACTGAGGTGTCGCTTATATGGGACAACACTGTGACCTAGGCCTACATTGATATGACATTCAGGAACAATCCGATTCTTCTGGACGGATCTTTACTGATTAAATTTATTTCAGCTCTAAGTATTTAATATCTAGGTGTTTTATGGGAATGTGGATTTTTCAGATCAATTTGAGAAGCAATTTTGATAGGTAAAACTTAATTGTGTCACATAGCGCGGGGTGCTGGTCTTGACTTGGTCTTGGGTTCGGAGGTCTTGACTACAACTCTGCTATGTGGCTCCTCGGTTGCATGTCCTCCCCCACCAACCTTCTTTCCATCCCCTTTCTGTTGGATTTCTTTAAAAATAAAAGCCACTAGTGGCAAAAAAGTAAAGTTCATGCTATGTTAGGACAGGAGACAAGATGTTTCCATCCCTGAAATTATGATGCATAGAATCACATTTTTAAGTCTAAACTATGTTACAAAGAGTAAACATAATAAAAACATGCTTTATCTGTGGCATTGTTCATTAAAATGGCACATTACTGATGTATTCAAATTAAATATGATTAGTTCACTTAATGATATTATATTAGGGATTAGGTAATGCATTCAACAAGTACTTTTACTTTTAATACTTAAGTATTTTTAAAAGCCAGTACTTTTTTACTTTTACTTAAGTACAAATGTTAATGTGGTAGTTTTACTTTTACTTGAGTACATTTTTGTCTGTTTATTTGTACTTTTACTTAAGTACATTTTTTAAGTACTTTCTCCACCACTGCTAATAACCAATAGTGTTACACTATTGTCATTGTTTGATAAGCTTTACATTGAGAAAAATTTTATAATTTATTTGGTTGTTTTTTTTTTTTTTTTCAAGTCTTCGATTTATTTATTCACAGGCAAATCTCCCTCCTCCCATCCTCACCACTTTCTACAGAGGGACAATAGAGAGTATACTGACCAACAGCATCTCTGTCTGGTTTGGATCATGCAAAACCTCTGACTGGCAATGTGTGGAAAGAGTGGTAAGGACAGCAAAGATAATTATTGGGACTGAGCTTCCTTCCATCCTTGACATAGCTCATTGTCGCCGCTTGTCCAGAGCTCAGTCGATTATCAAAGACTCCTTCCACCCTCGGCATGGTTTGTTCTCCCTGCTGCCCTCTGGGAAAAGGTTCAGCAGTTTCAAATGCAGAACAACCAACAATGCAATCTGGAGTAGACACCAGATGGCTCTTCTCCAGATTGCAGGTTTCCGTTACTGGAAACACGCAACAAAACACTTGAAAGAGCAACAAAACAGCGAAAGTCACAGAAAAGTAATGTCACTGCTCTGCTCGCGTGTGTTCAAGGCAAATTTTTTAAAAATGCCACTAGCCACCGGCTAGTAACTGTCCCTACTGCTACAGGCGAAGGTCCAAAGTGTGCAAAAATAGCTCAAGTGTGTCATGTCCTGCCCTGACACGCGGCTAAATCCAGTCATCATTGAATCAAAGTTTTGACCAGCTTTGGCTGTCAGAGGGGACATACTCACCCTGAGTAACTGAGCTTGGTAAGGAAATAAACCTGATAATTAGAGAGAAAGATACAGTTGATAAAAATTGAAAGAAAAAGGGAGATGGATAAAAAAAATGATAGAAATGAAGAAGGATAATACAGTACATAGAGGATGAATAGAGAACATTGTCAAGTTTTTCTTCCTTAGCAATGTTATATGTAGACATATTCAAGATGTTCAAGTACTTTTTTAACCCTTGTTAAA